GGCGCCGGCGGCGCGGTGGCCCGGGGGCGGGACTTGGAGCCACAGGCCATCGAGCCTGGCAGTGCCCCGGGGCAGTCAAGCCCAGCAGCGGTGATAGTCCCAGCACTGTGGAACCCAGCAGCAACCCTGGAGCAGCTGAGCCCGGGGACAGTTGCAGCCATGTTGCAGCAGAGCCCAGGCACTATCCCAAGTGTCTCCTGGACAGCCAAGCCCATTGCCTCAGGGCTGGTTGTGTAGCTGCACAGGCCATCGAGCCTGGCAGTGCCCCGGGGCAGTCAAGCCCAGCAGCGGTGATAGTCCCAGCACTGTGGAACCCAGCAGCAACCCTGGAGCAGCTGAGCCCGGGGACAGTTGCAGCCATGTTGCAGCAGAGCCCAGGCACTATCCCAAGTGTCTCCTGGACAGCCAAGCCCATTGCCTCAGGGCTGGTTGTGTAGCTGCATGCTGGGGCTGGCCATGGAGCCTGGCAGCACACCTGGGTATCTGAGCCCAGTATTGGCGGTATCCAGGAGTAGCGGAGCCCAGCAGCTGAGCCCAGCATTCTAGGACTGGCTGCTGAGCCCAGTGGTGGCATCAGCAGCAACCCAAGACAGTAGAGCTCAGTGGCGGCAGCAACAGTGGCCCAGGCTCTGGCTGTGAAAGCTGGTGGCACCCCAGAGGCAGGGGACTTGGTGTCGCAGAAGCAGGGAACCCAGCTGCAGAGCTAGTGGGCAGGAGGGGAGCCCACTTGGGTCTGCTGACAGACTGAGGTGTCGTACCTCGGTGTTTTCGTACCTCGGCACCTTTGATGGTCTGAACTGTCAGTGTCAGCATCATCTGGTCAGGGTCGTCCTCCGGACAGGACCTCTACTCCGTTGATGGTGATAAGCTTTCGGCTGCGTGCGTAACAATTGGTACTCCCTTTATCTAGAGTGTTAGACCCTGTGCACTTGGGTCAACACAAGAGATCTCTGAGAGGCCCCGGAAACAACAGATGCAGGCAAGGTTTGAAATCAATCGAGCAGGTTTATTGTCAAATGCGAAGCTCTACCAGTTGGTAACAGAGATCAGTACAGTGTTACACCACTGGGCACTATGGCCCGCGTTGACAAGGTACCAACACCGGGCAGGCCTATTGCCATATATCAGATATTAACAGCAGTTAGTCAAAGTTAAGCTACTGTGCATTCTGTAAGTTTAAGCAATGACACCTGCCGTTCAGGCGCCTAGTGCGCCCCCCTTTCCCCCAGGTCAGCCGGAGAGCACCCTCTGCGGTGTCCTTTTATAGACAGGTACAAACAACTTACATCATTTCTGTAACCAGGTTAACCAGGTTATCACCCTCTGTTGCGTAGTTACCACCCCTCACCTTCTAGAAGGGAGGCTTACTTACTATCCTTCATGCTGTCAATTCCGACCTGGTCCTGAACCTAGGTCGGTATGTGCATTAGTTTTTAGGGAGTTTTGTACCAAGACATTTCTTATTAAGATGTTCCATTACTCCCCTTTGGCTTACAGTCTGTACCCAGTGCCTCCCTATGTCCTTCCATGCTCGACCTAACTTACACAATCATCAGTATGGCCTCTTTCTTGGCTCCTATGTTACTGAACCAAAGTCTTGCTCACTAGATTGCAGGCCTGTTGCTGTTTTCATGTTATAGGCCTCTATTTAGGCCTGCTGACTCCATGTTACTGACCTTCAACTTACTACACCAGGAAAGTACCAAGTCTGTCAACAGAGGGGCTAGAATTGACTTCCTCTGGTCCTGCAAACTCCCTTCTTCAGGACAGGTCAGGTCTCAAGGGTACGGGACCAGGGAGGTCCAACCTGTATTACTATAGCCCAGGCATGTCCAAAGTCCGGCCCGCGGGCCAATTGCGGCCCGTGTTCCGGTTTAATACGGCCCCCCAAGTAATTTGGCAATATCTATCTTTTATGGCCCCCAACGAATCCATATGTATTGAGATGAATACATTGTAAAATCTCAGTTAATGTCAGTTGGTCTAAATCAGTTATAAATATATTTGGACACAACATGTATACTTGGTGTTATGTTCCTGTTCATATTTTTTGAACTTAAAAGTTGACAGACAACCTTTATTACCAATAATATGTAATGTACTTTACAATGTTCCTGACATATATTTCAGCTTCCTGGATTTTTTTTTCATCTGGCCTTCAGATATGAAAGGCAGAGTGATTTAACACCTGTTTAAATTTGCCATCCATGTGACGAAATGAAAAGTATGCCGTTTGCAATAAGCTTTGCATAAAATAGTTAATTTGCATTTAATTTTAATGGTTCAAAGAATGTCAGGCAAAATGGTCGGTCCTCACGCATGTTCACTTCATCAAATCTGGCCCTCTTTGAAAAAAGTTTGGACACCCCTGCTATAGCCCATTGATTATCCTCATTCCACCAAGTTTCTGTGATTCCTGTTCTATCAATATCCTCCTTTAATATGAGGCATTGTAGTTCACCCATCTTATTATTTAGATTTCTAGCATTTGTGTATAAACACTTTAAAAAGTATCACTTTTTAGCTGTCTGCTGTGATGTGATGTAATTTAATGGGATCCTTTTTCATTTGACTGTTTCTCAGCAGATCTTTCTGGCACTTTATCATCTTCTATCCTCTCCTCCTTCCTAAGTGTCATGGGCCCACTCTGAGATATCTGCTAATGGGCCACTCTGGTTTGTTCATTTAACAGCTCCACAGTCATGGAGGCTTGCAATTCGCTGTTTGCAGTCAAAGGAGCCACAGGAAACAGTGTGGCTCAGAGTGGCCCATTAGCAGCTTTCTCAAAGTGGACCGATGGCCCACTTTGAGAAATGCTGACATGGGAAATCTCCATTAAAAGATCATCCCCTGAGGAATATATCTGTCCGACCCACATGCTCTTTCACACCTGTCAGCTTTTCCCCAGCTCTTAGTTAAAATTAAAGTGGTAGAGCACTTTTTAAAGTGCCAGCAATCTGGTTCCATTTTGGTTTAGGTAGAGCCCATACTTTCTGTATAGGCTTTCCCTTTCTCACAAGTTTGAACATAGCTCTTACTCCATTTTATGTGTAAATATATATTGCTGGCAAGCATTTGGATATCATAAAAGTGTGAAATTACTAAAGATACGTAATTTAGGTCTCAAGAAAGAGTTTAATCATTTGTACTTCTTGACTAAATTACTTGGAAATCCCAGATAAGTGGTATATGTCAGATCAGTTCAACCTGTAATTTATAGTGTTACAACTCTGTGTGAAGAAGAGAACATGTGTCGACAGCCCAAAATTAAATTTTTGAAATTAAAACATTTACTGACCCTGATTCTCATGGCATAAACTCACACTGTAGTAGTGGGGGAATACTATTATTAAATACATCTCTGCTAATTTATTCTGACATGAATTGTATACATTTTAGATTGCTCTTCAGCATTTCATTTTGTATTTTTATGGTATGTTTTTTCTTTGCAGACGGTTGGAGCAAAACTCAATCAAGGTCATCCCTCCTGGAGCTTTCTCACCATATAAAAAGCTTAGAAGAATGTGAGTGAGAAATATTTTAGAATTATATAAAAACATTTTTCTAAAACAGGTCATGGTCATACAAAGAAATTCCCATCAAAGTATGAATACTTAAGAGTTTTTGACAGCCAGAGGATTAACTAATATGGCTGTCTGATTGCAAGGATCATATAGTGTCTTTGTCATGGTAATAACAATCGCTAGTAACTCATTGTAATGATACTAACTAAAATAAAAATGCATATATAGAGAAATAGCATGTCACTATAATGAAAATAATCATTTAACAGATTTTTGTGACTATATTTCAAAATTATATACTATTGTCATTCCATAATGCTATTGATGCTGTAAGATCTTGTTGCCATATCAACCTAACTCAAAGAAAAGTCATAAAATGTATTTAACCCTTTTATTGTTACTAAAAATAAACTAAGAATAATTTTATGTCTATTTATTTTATTTTATTATGTGGTATTTCAATGTAATAAAGTTATTTTTGTGCATTGATATTTTAATGTTTTAATTTTGTATCAAAAGGTCAAAATAAATACTTAGGTTTAGCCTTTTCTTGGATGACCAAAGGCTAATTACATAATATTTTTAATTTTCTATGGAATGGACTAGAATCCTTAATATACCTTCATTTTTTATTTTAGTGACCTAAGCAATAACCAGATCTCTGAGACTGCTCCAGATGCTTTCCAAGGTCTGCGTTCACTCAATTCACTGTAAGTATCAGTGTGATTTTTCTCAAAAGAAAGGCAAAATTTCTAACATTTGTGGTATTCAACTTTAAAATTTCTGCTTCATGCAAAATTCTCAATCTTCTCTATTCTTGCCTTCAAAAACTATAGGATAATGTCATATGTCATTACCTTATATTTAGCTGAACACTAACATTTGTTTTAGATACATGTCTTAAGAAGAATGCATATGTTGTTAATGTAAAAAGATCCCATCTGGGTCATTTGATAACTGAGAGCAGGAAGTAGCCCAATTTTGCAGTTGAGGCCCTTTAAATCTAGATGGGGATGGAAAATGCCCATTTTTTCGTACCATATTCACTTTTGTTAAATTGAAAAATATTTTCCAGAGTAAACTTAGGATAATTTTAATTTTGTTCCAGCTTGAAAATTTGAGGGGTTTGTCTCTATTTTATCATGATCATCCTTAGCAGAAACAGTGACAATTTACACTGGTTAATTTTGTGAACAGGCTTCATTTCCACATCCAAAGCTTACAAAGTAAATACTGATAGTTTTATGCTACTTTGCTCTCCATTGATTATAGCAGTGAGAGAATAGGACCTTTTACTTTTTCAACTTCTGTTATTTGAGCCTTAATTACAATTAAGTAATGTTTTACTGTTCCTACTTGATTTTGTTATCACGGAATTGGTTAATTCACAAATACTTTGAAGTGGAATAGAAGTCTCTACCATTGCTTTAAATTTACATCCCCCTCCCCCTTTTTTTTGAGTTTCCACTACTTTCTAAATATAGTGATTTTTTGTTTTTTTGTTTTTGCTTGTTCCCCTGAGAAGCATCTACTCTATTTTCACATATCCCATCCTAGTTGCTTTTTCACATTAAAAGATTGGCTCCTATTAAAGCTGCATGGGAAGATGCCATGCAAGCTGCTTCTCAAATTATTTCAGCAGAAATCATCTAAATATGTGGTGCCAGCTGTTCAACTGTTAAAAAAATCATAATTTTAATTAATTTTTCCTGCTAAAGCCAAACATGAGGAAGTTATAGATTTTAGAGAATAAGTCTTTTCACGTAAATATTTACCCGGTGAAGATAGTGAAATAGTCTCTCTGCAAATAATACTTTTGAGGATCTAAAAGGGCAAATGATTATAACTTTCACTTTCAGGAAATCTTACGGGGGTAAATGTAACTTGCTCTACTTTTCCATGTGTGGTCTGTCTTTGTAGAAGGCACTGGTCTGTGAATTGAAGTCTTGGGTTCTACTCTCAGCTCTGCTATTGACGTGGTGTGTGTGATACTCAGCTCATCGTTTTGTTTCTTTGTGCTTTACTTTCCCTATCTGTAAAATGGGAATGTCATAAAATGCTAGGACATCTTTGGTTAAAAAGTTCCAGAAAAAGAGCTAAGAATTATTTTTGTACTCTGGATATATACTAGACATGTGTTATATCAATCTTTGTTGTTTTCTTAAGGTGGCAAAACCAAGAACTCAAAAGCTAGAGAGTAGTATTGCTGCATGCATTTGTTAAAATTATTTTACAAATCTACTTTATCATGCACATCAGTTGTTGCCTCCAGGCTCTTTACAGGGTGCCATTGTGGGTTTTAGAGCTGCAATTTGCGAACCTTTTGTATAATATATAGTCATTCACTGGCCTTTTAACTAATTTTCTTATTTAGATGAACATTCTGACTTATATCATCTCTCACAGCAAAGAAGGTGATACACTTAATCAGTATTTCATTAAGAGATGTGGCCAGATCAGTATAATAGGGTTTTAGCAAGTGAACTCTTCCACTTCTGAAAGAGTATGATGGGGATTTATTTTAGTGTCTGCTGTAGAATCAACAATGAGAAACAAATTCAGAAGTAAATCTTTAGTGTCAGGAAGGTCTCTGTCCGTGTTATTAGCTGCTGTCTGGGGCCATGAGTACGTTAAAAAAGTTGCCTAAACAAAAGTAATCTTGTCAATACTTAATCTTTATTACCATCTGATCAATCAATCAGTAGTCTAAGTTTCCTAACACCTTTTTAAAGTAGATACTTGGGGCCTTGATCCTATAGTATACTCTGTAGGAACCAATTTCTGCACCCATACAGAGGCGTTTACAGGGGTCTTAAGCCTTAAATTTCTTGGTTATTTCTATATAGAATCATTTCAGGGAAGAGGGAAGAAGTTTTTCTGTCTTTTAAGTCAGAACCAGAATACCTGTACTTTAACTGTAGCTACCTTGATAATTTCTTTTCTCTTATAGTGTCCTCTATGGAAATAAAATTACAGAGCTTCCAAAAAGCCTGTTTGAAGGACTTTTCTCTTTACAGTTGCTGTGAGTATTATTTGTTTAATTCTAATCTCATTTTTCATTAACTGATAGGGAAGGAAATGGGAGGGAACTTGAAACTTTGATATGTGTCCAGAAAAGAAGGGCTAGGAAACTATCCTAGTGTGCAAGATCAGATGGGTGGTGAAACCATTAATTTTAGTTTTAGTATATGAAATGAGAGGAGTCAAGACTTGTTGTTTTTGTTTTGGACTCTCAGTTTTGTTCATAAGGTATTCCTTTGGTCAAAGCATATATACTCTGTGTCCCAGTTTACTTACACACCATTAAAATTGATATAAAGTTAATCTTGCTTGTGAAAATTAAAAAAAATTGTAAAATGCTTTGAGATACTTAAGCAGCAGATATTTTATACAATGAGACCTGGCAGAGAGTCTACATTTATCATAGTAGATATATCTTGCTGTGTTAAACACAATAAATACATAAAGGACATATAATTGATTTGGTGTTTATTTTCTTTATAATAGCACCTATTTTCAGTGTAGAATCTCTCTTCTTTTATTGATTGTTTAATACACCTTCTGAAGCTCTTCTATGTACAGTTATGTAAAGGGAATGTCTTAATGTTATGATTTTCAACTACTATTTCATTTAACAATCCTACAATCCCACAAGAAAAGTCTTGTGAGCCATCTCTGTTTTGATTTAACAGTGAGTATAAAGGGAAGCATTACAGTGATATGTTTATCATACCTTCTAAAAAAAAGTCAGCAGGCTCAACAGTGTGGTTGTAGTACTGTCTAAAAATAGATTGTGTGCAGTGGGCCATAAATCAGCAGTGATATTCTTCAGGGGAGAATCTGGGAATAGCTGGCTTGGAGCTGTAAAGACTGATGATGATAGAAAATAACATCTACCCACTTGATTAGAGGCACTTCTTGCCCAGACTTTATACAGAAGTGATATGGCAAAATTTCTCCTATAAGTACTTGCTGAAGAAAGTGCCAAGTAGGAAGTCAGTGATATGAACATGTAAATCACAGTACCATCTGGGGTTGATGTTTCATTCTTTAGATCAGGGGTCTCCAAACTACGGCCCACGGGCCGGATGCGGCCCGCGAGGCCCTCTCATCCGGCCCGTGGAGACCTTTTTGTCTACGGAAAAAAAATTACGTGAAGAACAATTTGAGAACAAACTTGTCCGATGATAATCTCAGGTCACTGTTGATGTTAGGGACAACAAATCTAAAGCCAGAAATGTCTGCTATTTTGGCATCCAGGAAACAATTTCACCATTCACACTAATACAGGTGTTCATGTGTAGTGTATCAATGTGTTATTAAATAATAACTGAATAAAATAATATTAAATAAATAATTAAAAACAACATCCATGTTTTGATTGTTTTTTATTTGGACCTCAAGTGTGTAATCGGCCCCCGAACTGCTGTTTGATAGTTAATGCGGCCCTCGGGCTGAAAAGTTTGGAGACCCCTGCTTTAGATCATGATACAGTAGTCAGGAATGTGTTTTCCTTTCTTTCCTTCTGAGAAGAGTTTGTTATAGAGAATTATATTTAATAATTAAGATCAAAGGGTATGTCTACACTACCCCGCTAGTTCGAACTAGCGGGGTATACCTTTTTAAACATGAAGACTGTTGGATATGTCAAATCAAATCCCGTTTCAATTTTTTATCTACCAGGGTGAATAGTGAAGTTAGTGTATTCTATGCTTTGAAAAACTAGGTTTTATTTCAATGTAAAGGTGGTTTTGTATTTGAATAAAAGTGTGGTCGAGGGAGGACAGGTACTTGAAATAAAATAAGGAAAGAAACAGCAAAATTTATCAGTGCATAGTAGAACTTTCAATATAGAGTGAATAGAAAATATCTTTGGGTATGTCTACACTACCCTCCTAGTTCGAACTAGGAGGGTAGTGTAGACATACCCAAAGATATTTTCTATTCACTCTATATTGAAAGTTCTACTATGCACTGATAAATTTTGCTGTTTCTTTCCTTATTTTATTTCAAGTACCTGTCCTCCCTCGACCACACTTTTATTCAAATACAAAACCACCTTTACATTGAAATAAAACCTAGTTTTTCAAAGCATAGAATACACTAACTTCACTATTCACCCTGGTAGATAAAAAATTGAAACGGGATTTGATTTGACATATCCAACAGTCTTCATGTTTAAAAAGGTAATAGATTTCTATGAAAACAGTCTTCTTTTATATCATTTTATATTTATAATATGGGAGATCAGAAAGGATTCTCTTTAGAGATAGAGAAAAAAATCAAATCTAGGATAAATCTGGACTGTAGCACATAATGTGCCCCCAGTATTCTACTACAACCTTTGGAAATGTGGCAGAGTATTCTGATTAGTAACATGCAATTAAGCATGCCACTGTATATCTCTTCTGGCTAATGAACACCATGTTCAATCCTTTTGGCAAAAGGAAATGTTTTCCTTGCCCATACTTGATATCTCAAGCTCATTTCCTTGTTCAGATAAGTACCGCATGCATACATTCCATGAACACATACATACGGGACTGTGATTTTACTAAAGAAGTTAGAGCATTTCAATTCCTGTGTGTAAGTGGTGTGGAATAATTACAGAACACCTAAATAAGTTATTTTAATTCAGTAAATATGCACTTGCGTTTGTTAATTAAGGTTTGTACAATAAACAAATCAAACTTCTTGTGCTGGTTTAAGTACAAAGAATTATTGATGATGCCACAATGAAGTTAGTGACAGTAAACTAATTCTATTTACAATTGTCTTTGGTATAACAGATTATTAAATGCCAACAAGATAAACTGCCTACGAGTAGATGCCTTCCAAGATCTACACAACCTGAACCTTCTTTCTTTGTATGATAACAAGCTTCAAACCATTGCCAAAGGCACCTTTTCACCCCTACGTGCAATTCAGACTTTGTATGTACACTTTTCCTTGTGTTGTACCTAATGTAATTTTCTATTAATTTGTTTTCTATAACAACAGAATATCAGGAATAGTTGAAACTAATTGCAAATAATGTGTACAAATTTTACCTTTTTTCTTCATGAAAGGCATTTGGCTCAGAACCCATTCATTTGTGACTGCCATCTGAAGTGGCTGGCGGATTATCTTCATACAAACCCTATTGAGACCAGTGGTGCCCGTTGCACCAGCCCCCGCCGTCTGGCAAACAAAAGGATTGGCCAGATCAAAAGCAAGAAATTCCGCTGCTCAGGTAATTTGCTTAGTTCAGCTGCTATTTCTCCTTTATTGCCAAAAACAGTGGTTACAGAACTTTTAATAATTCAGCAAAGAACCAGCTGCTTTTATCAAACATTGTAGAACCTTTTTTGTTCTTGGACTGAACAAAGGGGAAAATAATGGACAGCTCACATTATTTGATCATGAAACATAGTGTAGTTAACACATTTGGCACTAAATCTAACTAGCCCTAAATCTAACAGAAGAAATACAATATACAGCACTTCAGAATGAAATGCTAGCGTTATTATCCAGAAGGATCACCAGTGTAAATCATTTAAACAAAGTTTCACAACGCTTTGGTGTATGTAAAAGATCTAAATATTTCCAGCAAAATATGGAAACATGACATATTCATGTTACACAGGGAGCTTACCTCATCTTTAAATTTACTGTTTGCTTTTTCTAATCTTATTCCATTTCCTACTTACATTTTTCTAAGCCCTAACCTCTGTCATATGGTATCCAGCTGCTCCAGGTGCATTTCATATTCTACAATTTATTCAGCCTTGAGTACAAATACAAAAAAAAACCCCTATTTATTCCCTATGTCCCAGATATATTTAAGACTATTCACATGTTGTTTATCAGCTTTTGCTGTGAATTCACTTTTTTCATGTAATTATCTGCAGTTAACTATAGTCCATACTTAATCTAATAGAATGCATTCTCTGCTTGTTGACATTCAGGTGCATCTTCTATTTTTTCTCTTTGTTTTTTATTTAGCTAAAGAACAGTATTTCATTCCAGGTAGGTTTGGCTCTGTAGTAAGACTAACTGCAGATATCCTCTCCTCTCCCCGAAAAAAACAAAATTTGTCATAGCTTTAGGAAACTGATGCATGTGTTTTACATATAGTTAATATTCTGTAGATAGATATATTTTCCTGTGTAGATTACTAGTAATTCTGTTTTCTGAATATGAGGGCTTTGCATGCAGCTCCTGATATCTTTTTTGGTCTCATAAATCTTCACAAGCCTAAGAAATGGTACTTACAATTACATTAGTTAGAAGGTTGCACCTGTTACTATATATTCCAACTGATATCTTCATACCTTATCTGCTGTAACACTTCTGTTTTTAAAATGTAGCTATTGAACTGCTTTTAAACACAGAAACCCTTCCTACTGTCAAAGAGCTAGTACAACTTAAAGCCACTTTTTAAAATGAACTATTTCTTGCTTTGCTTTTATGCTCTAAACCAGCAGTTTCCTACTGTCTATCTGCAGCTATTGCTTGCTCATCTGTGATCCTATGATTCCTGTGTTTTATAAAATCACAACAGAATGCCAGGAAATGAATGATGGTGATCTTTATTAAAGGCATATTAAAATCTCTCACATACATTGTGCATTAGAAATACTTTTTGATAAATAGGAAGCAAAATTTTAGAGTTGGGGTGAAATAAAAATGTAAACATCACTTTAAACTACTCAAATACTGTGACATTTTCCAAAGAAAACATATTGCCCTAGCTCTTTGAAATTTGTTTCTTTTCCCTCTGCTGTCAAGTGATCACACTGTTTTCTTTACAGAAAATACCTATATAATTTTCCTAACAGGTGTTAAATAATTGATTGGCAAAGTATACAAGGGTATAACTACAGAACATTTCTCTCACAGTTTAGTAAAAAAAAATATTTACAGTTATTGATTGTGACACAATGCACTTGTTCTTTCAAATCCTACATCTATATTGTCTTTCTGCAGTGTTTTAAGTACATCTTACCTATTGCCTTTTAAACTGGTATGTTTAACAGCTTTGCTTTTATTGCTATGTAATTTTTGTTTTAAATTGGAATGACTGTGTGAGGTTTTTCTTGCCCTTCTACTAACATGCTGGCTTGAGTTTTGTAGGGGAAAAATAAAATGGGACAAGGTGCAGTTGAAACTTATTTTAAAACAGCATAAAGTGGGGCTGTGGGATCTGATTTCCCAAATCTATCTGGCCACCTGAATTCCATAATGGGTAGAACAGCTGTATTCCTCACAGAGACTTCTACTCCGTATTGCTAAAATGACTTTTGTCTCTACATTACAAGTGTATTAACACCAAATATCTTTAACAGGCAATTTATTATATGGCCACACATACAGCCCTGATTTGCTTACCTACAAGAAATAATATACTGCTTAAAAATGCAATTTCTAAAATGTAAAACGCATCAGGAAGTTCTGAGAGTGGTACTTTTTGAAGTGTGGCTTTGGTGTAGGTTCTTCCTAATAAGTAACTAAGGGTATGTCTACACTACCCCGCTAGTTCGAACTAGCGGAGTAATGTATGCATACCGAACTTGCTAATGAAGCCCGGGATTTGAATTTCCCGGGCTTCATTAGCATAAAGCCGGCGCCGCCATTTTTAAAAGCCGGCAGGAACTGGCAGAGTGTTTCACTAGGGCAATTTTTATAGGAAGGAAAAGAGAACCTGGTAGGGGAAAAATATCTTAAAGTCCTCTGAAATGGCTGCTGTTGAATTATTCTAGAACCACTGTTATAATCCATCTGAGTTTAACTAAATGAAAAGCACAGACCCAGATCTGATCATCTCCATGTTAAGGGAGTATGATGGACAGGAGTGCTGACTAGCACCTGGTGACTAAGGGTTTAAACTTAGGTAGCTAGCAAAGGTGTTGGCCGGGGGCTGGGAGAGCCAGTCAAGATAAAGTGTTAAAATTTGAATTGGATATAGATTCCTTGCCTGCTTTCTTTGTGGGAGATAAAAGGTAAACCAGTTGACAGACACAGAGAGTATGTCTACACTACCCCGCTAGTTCGAACTAGCGGGGTAGTGTAGACATACCGTAATGGACATAATGTACAATGTGTAACATTTATTCAAACCTGAGAGATCTTGGCCTAGATACTTTATGGGATTTAGTTTGAGCTACTATGCCCATACAAGTTAAAATATTTCTTCCTCATAAGTAATTCTCAATGCCCCATTTTTGGAAGCAAAAAAAAAGATTGGATACACTTTATGCCTAGATAAATATCATTTAAAAAAATCAATGTTTTCTATAAGAAGTTGAATGTAGACTTTTTATAGCTGAGAGGTCTGAATGCACAGACACTTAAGCTATTTTAACAGTATTCTCACATAGTCATGTTTGGAGACTAAAGGTTATAACAATAATAAAGCAGGAACTTGAACAAATCCTGCTTTTGTATTAGTTTATAAAATATTTCAAGTAGTTATGTCATATATATTACTTGAAGCTAAGTAGAAATTAAAATATTACAGTATACAAGACCCCTTTTGTTCCTAGGTACTTATGACATTTTCCCCAAAGTTTCTTTGATTATTTTTTATTTTAAGTGGCTTAACATACATTTGTATAAAGCAGCATTACTCTAGCTTATCATAATAAAATATTTTTTTAAAAGCTAAATTATACCACATGAAAAGTATCATCTTCAAATACATAGTTCATAATTAAGCTCTTTCTTTAGCTTAGTTAAAATTTTGTAGGCCACTTAAAATGAATTTTTCTCTCTGTTCCAAAGATGATGCCGCATTGCATCATCCTGTAATCAAAGAAATAATATTGAGGCAAGAGAGTGAGAGTGCCTAGTTTTGTGTTTTTATTTTAATTGGGATTACTCTGTCTTTCTTTCCTTCTTGGCTATCTTTACTTTTGCAGGAGTTCACCATTTTGGCTGTAAGTAAAGTTCAGTGTCTGAACTAAATCACAATGTACTTCCTATCCCTAGTGCACTTCCTTCTATTAGTGTCTTTCCACCTTTGTCCAAGAAGAACCCACAGATCCTTTGAGCTTCTCTCTGTTTTCCTGATCACCCACCCTTAATTCCCTTCTGGATGTTTTCTTCTGATCTGTATAGGATGTTATTTTTGTTCTGTTGATTGTGGGAAATGGTGAAAGAAACTTGCAATGTGGTCTATTTCTTGTACTTTTTAGTTAAGCTGTGACAGTAATGCTGTTACAGTGGCAGTGG